AATAATGATTGTTGCGTTTCTCAATGTATTCATCTTAGACTAAGTTTGGTGTTATCGTGTTATATGTTTCTCGGTAAATTTCCCATGGATACGCAGGAATGTCATATGCTACTAGAATCATGTAAGTTTACTGTAGTCAACATATGTCTATGTTCAATGCGTTTTATTTTCAAGTGTACAGAATATATCGTAAAAAATTGTAAAATATTAATATCATCATTCAAAAAATATTTCATATGGCATTGCATTCATTATATTGCATCGTATTATAATATTATTATACATCTGTCACCATGACGCCATAAGCTATAGCGTGCCGTAATTTTGCGGTATTTTACGGGGTATTTCCCTCCTAGCACATAAAGAAATGCGAATTCTAAATACGCGCGTAAGCGTCCTCTAATAATAAAAACAAACATGGCTGCCACCAGCGTTTGACCAAACTCCACACAAAAAAAGTTCACAGATTCAGTTCTAAATGTTTGGATTACGGCATTGCCAGGATGTATCCTTGGAAGGAAAAGCTGAATAATAATACGGTTATTACTCAGACACTACGCCGTCGCATCGGCCTCCGCTGCGCGTCGGTCGATACTCCCGCTGTACTGTCTTCGTGCACACTTCGAGGTATCCTCGTAATGACCTCGTAATATTTATCCTAATTGGTTCTAAGGCTAAACACGTTTCTAGTGTTTTCTACGCTCTTTACATACAGTTTTATTTGATTCACACGTGACAGAAAATCATACAAACCATTAACATATAAGAATATAAATATGCATTTTAATTATTCAAACCGATCACTCATGTTTCAGATTCGTATAATACGAACGAATTAACATTGATGTGGTTACGTAATACCACTGCTGTTGAGATCCATGATGATGTTAAGTTGCCACAGTACTACCTGAACAAAATTGAGGAATATACCAATGTGACACATTACATGACGGGTAAGTCTATCAATGTACCGACATAGAGAAGACGATTTATACTGGATATGAAGGCAAGCCGATTACTTACACCTCCGCTACAGTTGTAAAATACTAATATGTCGAAATTGTAAACTATATATATATTTTTTAAATCATGTTTTAATAACAACTTTTCTGACACAGTTTTGTGTTTTAAAGAACATGTCCTTCATATTTATTGAGAATTAACTGTTAAAATATTTCAATCTAGTCAGCTCTATAGCATTTACAAGGGTGTTAAACCAGTCTATTTCAACTGGGCCCAGATCTTGTTTTTTTTCCAATTAAAATCATTTCGTCCATGTCAGCGGACAAAAATGCCACGACAATCTGTCTATTGAAAGGGACAAACCTACGACACAAAAACGAAGAAACATATTATTGCCGCGCCGGTGGTTTCAATAAATATAGAGCGTAATATGTGTGACGAGACACGTAGCTAATATCACAAGTAAATTGTTTATCTTTATTACACTAGGAAAACATTTGTTTTAGTATTGCCTACAAAACTAAGATACAATGAGGGTTTCTTAGTGCAATGTGTTAACTCATATTAGTGCATGGCCAAAATGTTTTTCTTTTTTTATATCTGCACGGAAAGACAAATGTTACTTTATATATTCATAGATAACAAATAATTATAATGGTAATGTCGCCATGGTAACGTTTAATAAAACAAATTCGCTAAAACTCAGCAAACCATTTTGACCACATTTTTACTTTGAAATGGGGTCAAAACTGTTATTTTCACCTATTCACATACATGCAACACACTCACTAAATTAATTGGAAATAGCCATCATAAATAACATATATGCAAAACAAATAGGCCGTAATACTTGATTTGGTTAAGTTCTTGAAAACATTGTGGTCAATTTGGCATTCACCCATCCTTAAATATACATGCATCCAATTACGATCATAACGTTTAAGCACATTATTGATAATATTATTTTAATTTTATGTCAAAGCACAGGCATTATTCATAAACCATGTGTCATAGTGTAATCTTGATATTATGTTGGTCTGTATATCATAAAAAAAACTCGGCAGCCGGAATTGTATTATAGCACTTACATTCTAGATTCAAAAAAAAATATGCGTAATTTATCATTTGCTGTCTATGTATATATGTTGTTCCATGTTTTGTAGAAAAGTATTACTTGTATATCTGAGACTCGACGAAAAGTCATTTATTTTACCTAAAATGTCATAATTATGCTCATATGGTGCTGATCTGACACTCCTCTAGTATTTGCTGGTATGACAATAACATTCAGAATATCCATAATACAATTGAAACAAAATATTCATTACTATTTGCAGGCGATTTCACACATCTTGGAGTCAGATTTTTCCTAGTTCGAAGCCTTGGATTCTACGTGCTACAAGCGTATGTGCCGAGTTCTCTCTTGGTGGCGCTGTCATGGCTCTCGGTCTGGGTAGAAATATCTGCAGCGCCAGCTCGTGTGGCTTTAGGAGTTACTACTGTTTTAGCATTGGTCACACAGGCAACGTGGTTACGTGGCCAGTTACCTAAGATAGCTTATGCCACGGTAAGTTACATGTAACTAATATACGTTTTTCATAATATAGTCTGTTGAATACAGTTTACTTGTCGTATGTTGTACGTAATGTGTTGTGTACCGCTTTTTTATGATGTTTGCACGCGTCACCACTTACATTTAACTTTACACAGACCTACCATGTCACGACACGACACTATTTTCATAATTTATAATAATATTTAATTTAATTTAAGTCAAGTTTGCGTAGCTTTGGGTTAGTAAAGGCGAATATATACTACAATATATATTAAGGTAGCGGGACTATTATTTGCATACTTGTTTTCATCTTCTAATTGTGACCAAATGACTACAAATAGACCCAGGGAAAGTATATATTTTTAGAATCGCCAGACTTCAAGCTTTACAAAGGTGTGTTTGCCATGCCCTATCTGCATTATATGACCCGTTACTTAATCAAAGGTGAAAAATTACTTTTTCTGTAAAAAAAATAATTACGCATTTATGCTGGCGATAAGAAGTATTTTTTTCACTTTTTAGTGTGCTGAATTTCAATTACTGTTTTAGTCGCATTGCCCCCAACTCAAACCACAACTCGTTGGTAAATAATCGATGAAATAGTTTGTCGGAACACATTCAAGTTCCTCTCACTGTCACCTCAAAGCTGTGAAAATTTGGTGTTAATCCGACGACAATAAGTATACGTTATTTTTTGTTAAAGACCTTGTATTTTGAAAAACATAAACTCCTAGAAAACGTCCATGAAGTAACAGCAAAGATTTTCAAGCTTGTTTATGACACAATCAATGTTGTTTTCCCATGCAAGGTCTGTTTTAACATGTGTAGGGACATCCAAACGTGTAAGGCTATTGGAAACCAAAAAAATAAAGGAATGGGATAGCTATAATTGGATAATTTCGGCATATGAAAACACCAAAATCATTTTTTTTTTCAGTGGCTTTGTGACCTTGTGTCTGAAACATTCATATGCAAATGACTAATCTGTGAAACAAACAGGGGCGGAGACAAACCACTCAAATGTTTGGAAACACTCATTGTGTGTCAGATAGCTACTGATAACACATCCTAACATTGCTTTGTTTTGAGTTTATCTTTGAAACTTATAGGCACACAGATTAAACCTGTGTTGTTGATTACTGAGGCTGCCTTGCTTCCCTTCAGAAAATCTACATTTTAACCAACTTATAATTACCTGACATTCTATGTTATGTTGAATTTATCACATGAAAGTTTATAGTGCATTTCATCAATTAATAAATAAATGCGAAAATCGTAATTTTCAACACAAATAATAGTCTCGCTACCTTAATATTATTTGTTCTAGATACCCCTTTTATTAACCTAAGTTTCGCAAACATTTCTATGTTAAGGCGAAGGATATTCAACTTTTATTTAATTAAACTTGAATAAAGGCGCAAATTTATGTTGAATTGCATTGTAGTTGACTTTAATTAAACTTTATTAAAACGAAACCCAAATTAATTTCTTCTAAAGTAAAGTATTCTACAGTATATAAAACGTTAATTATTAAAACTGTATTAGACATTACTCCAACGTCTTACGTTACAACGTTGGTAAGACGTTTACGTGCGTGTGTGTTGCCTGTAACTACAATCTGTAAACTACAATTGCATTGT